CAAATATTAAGAGTCTTGTATCCATGAAAGATCTCAAGTTAATTGGATTAAAGTCCCATGATTGTCACGTTTTGATGCAACAGCTTGTTACCCGTGGCTATACGTAACATATTGCCTAAGAATGTTAGACATGCCATTATGCGACTATGTTTTTTCTTCAATTCTATTTGTGCCAAGGTTATCGATGAAAAATCACTAGATGAGTTGGAAAATGAGGCTACTAGTTGTGCTATGTCAATTGGAGATGTATTTTCCTCCATCATTCTTTGATATAATGATTCACTTAATCGTTCATGTTGTGAGGGAGATACGAATTTGTGGGCCAGTTTATTTGAGGTGGATGTACCCAATTGAGCGATACATGAAGATCTTCAAAGGGTATTCTAAAAATCCATATAGACCTGAAGCTTCAATTGTTGAGCGGTATATTGCGTAAGAAGCCATAGAATTTTGTTCAGATTACTTGGCAAGAGTCGTACTGTGGGTGTACCTAGAAATCGTCATGATGATAGGCTAAATGGTAAGGGAACTCGTGGTATTAGAATTCAAACAAAAGATCATGTAGAGTTGACCACCGCCCACTTGTATATTTTGAACAATACAGAAGAGGTTATTCCTTACATAGATGCGCATAAAGCAATGTTAAAGGACCTAAACCCCAAAATGGGTGAAAGGTGGTTGATGAAAGAGCATAACAACAACTTTATCAATTGGTTTCAAAGAAAAATATTTTCAAGTGACAATGCCTCCGATACACTGAAATGGCTAGCACATGGGCCTAGATATAATGTTATAACTTGGCAAGGGTATGACATTAACAAATACTCATTCTATACGAAGGCACAAGATGACAAAAGTACGGTCCAGAATAGTGGAGTATCTATTGAGGCAACATCTATGCACTTTTCTAGTGCAAAGGACAAAAACCCCATCATGGCATCAATTAGTTACTTTGGAGTGATTGAGGAGATTTGGGAGGTCGACTATACTAAATTCAAAGTGCCTTTATTTAAATGTAAATGGGTTGATAACAATACTGGTGTCCAAAGAGACCAAATGGGATTTACTTTGATTGATATAAACAAGATTGGTCATAAGGAAGAACCCTTCATAATGGCATACCAGGCAAAACAAGTGTTTTATGTCACTGATCCATCAAATGATAGGTGGTTAGTTGTCCTCAAAGGAAAAATGATTGATGTCACAAATGAGAATGGAGAAGAATTAGATGATTTTATTAACATTCAAAATTCACCACGGTTACCTATTTCTATATCCCAATTGGAAGAGGACTTTGTTCATGCTACTCGCAATGACCATGATGAAGGCATATGGGAAAATATTAATACAATCTAAGTTATGTTTCTATTTATTTATTTTTTTAACATGTAATTGAGGAGACTTTGCATGTGTATTGATATAATTCTATGTTTTTTTCATTACAGGTAAATGGCATCTCCTCCACCATCTCCTCGTGCATCTCGGAAAGACATTTTCCAAGTAAGAGGAGTCGACAATCTACACGGTTGAAAGGCTTGACCATTAGACACATATCCGGCCGAAGTTATCTCGTTTCTGTTGATCCTAGGACTGGCAAGGTGTCAGGTCCCTTCAGCACCCAATTTAGTAGCTACTTGGGTACACTAGCTAGAGAGAAGGTATTTATTCTATTTCAAAGTTAATTTCATTTCAAATATATTGTTCATACTTATGTTGTTTATGTTGTGTAGATATCTATTCTCCATCCTACTTGGGATCATGTGGAGGAAACTGTGAAGAACTTGTTATGGCAAGATCTTCTTGTAAGTATGTGTATTTAGTTGTTTATATTGTTTATACATTATTATCAATTGGTTAACTAAAACTTGTTTGCTACTCGTAGGAACACTTTGATTTAGTTAATTCTGAGGATGTGAGGAGGAAGATAATGACAGCCCATAGCAAAAATGTGGAGACAGTTCAAGTCCACATTGACCACTAAATGGGTGTATGCTGAGGACAAAGTTAGCAAGGGATTAACCCCTTGCCAAAGATATGGCATAGATGAGGACACTTGGAAGAAGTTTGTACATAGTAGGACTCGGTTTAGAGTGGGAGGTAATAGCTTATGGCTTAATTGACTTGAATATTTAATAATGACTTGTGTATCTAATATTGTGTTCAATTATGTTGCAGGAAAGAAGACAAAAAGCAAAAGACATTCAAAGGAAGAATGTCGCCCCCCACCTTCTGTCTCGTGGGGGGTACGACTTATTGAATAAGAAGATGATGGAGGAGAAGAGTAGACTTCGACAGTCGGAGTTAGCCTCTTCTGGTTTAAGCGAAGAGCAGATTCCTCCACCATCTCCTCCAAAACGTCACCAGAAGTGGAAGAGGGCGCGTACAAAGCCTTCCGGTGACATGACGTCGCTGGAAGCCCGAGAAATTGCTGCTCTGGATTGTAAGTAAAAGAAGTTAATTTACTTTGAATTAGTTATATGTAACATGTTCATTAATAAAATTAACTTTTATAATGTAGGATGCCTTGGAGGAGCAAGTGTACACAGGGAACTTTCATCCCTTCTGGTCGTTAGGATATCTTGACCATCGCTATTGGACGACCGTAACATCCAGGTCGTGTTCGAGCCGTTGGCCAAGGTGTGGGTGTCCGACAGTATTTTGGACCACCATCACAGGATATCCGCACCTCCACATCCCCGAGCCAAGAAGATATTGCTGCCTTGGAGATGACTCTCACGGAGAAATTGACACCGACCATCGGGGCAAAATTGGAGGAAGAGTTGACTCCCGCCATCGCCGCACGACTTGAGGAGACCATCACTGCACGTGTGCAGGAGCAGCCTCGCGTATGACCTCCATGGGTACTTCATTTGCTGATGCTCATCCTCCATCGTGTGCATTTTCAACCACAAATTGGTACTTGACTTGTGTTTCTAAAATCTTAGTCCTTATTGGAATTTATTGTATTTGTAGGTCCAAGAGTTAGCACAAAGGGCAGTTGTGCTGAAGCCACTATCGAGGTCACACCCGAGGTGGCATCTATTCATCCCGAATCCACAAAGGATGATCGATATGGCTTGTGGGTTGAGGTAGATGAAGGTCTAAGGCTAGTGGCCCATGGATCAGCTTCATGAAGGGGCTTCAACCATCCACAATGTGCCTTTGGATCCTAACTTGGTCAAAGTAGTGGTTGAAAAGGTGGTTGACGCCGCGGCTAGTGTCCCTATCCCCACCGAAGAGGTGCAGACAGTGGGCCAAGCCCTTCGGACCTTCATTACTTGGCCCCGACATTTAGTTAGGTCAATAATGGCAAAGGTATGTATATGTATGGTTATAATACATCTAACACATAAATAAATTGATTTATTGTTTATGATTATATTTTATAAAATGTGTAGGATGTTCTGACAGCCAAAAGACTTGGGTAAAGCTATTGCCACTCCTTCGCATCTAAGGAGAAGACACCGAGTTGTGGAGACTTCTCCAAATCCAATTTTTGATCTCTTGTCTCTTTCCCCACAATTGTATCTCGCAATCATTCCAAGTTCCATGGGATTGTACATTATTTGGGATGGCTTCTAGCAATATCCCCCTATACATTTCCCACACTCGATGCCCTGGAGATTGGGATGGGCAATCAATGTCTAAATATAGTCGTTTTACAATTTTGGACATTGTAAGTTCATATCTTTCATGATTCTTTTCATTTTAGTAAATATATAAGCTATAAGTTCACTTAAATTGGCATATTTTAGGATGATGCACGAAATGATAGTGGAGCAGTGGCATTGGTCATGTGTATGGATTCTTCGAGCCTCAATCCATACAAAAGTCCGGGAATAAGCGTGATCAAATTCTCGCTACATGCAGAATTGGATGACTGCTTCTAAAAGAGATATTTACCTTGGAGCATACCATCATTCGTAAGTTATCCCAGCCTCTTCCGGTTTTAAACAAGTTTTTTTAATAGATTCTAATCATGTGTATATACGAAACCATCGCGACTATTAGTTATTTGTCCAAAGCGAGAATCTTGTGTGTTGGTTCTGCTCATTGGGAAGAAAACCTGACATGGAGCTAAAAAATATTGTAAACGAGTAAGTATTTATTATATTATGTCTAAACATCTTGATTATTCTATTTCTAATCCCCTTCTTTTCAATATATAGTGCTTTAAAGGTTTGTAGTACATTAGATGGAAAACACACAAGTAAAAGCACAACTCCAAATTGGAATATTATCAAAGTAAGTAGCCTTTATATATATTATACTATCTATTAATTTACGTTCAAATTTAATAGTTATTTTTAACATATTTACTCATTTTTAGTGTAACAAACAAAATGGAGGCTACGAGTGCGGCTACTATGTAATGTATTGGATGTGGCTCATCATTTTTGGTAGCATTCGGGATAGTTGGGACGAGGTAAGTTGACATTTGCTATTATATTCAATTCCTTTATTTTTATTTCTTAGGGTTTACCATTCTATTATTGTGAACTTCTTACAGGCATTTAAAGATATAGAACATTTGCCTATGGATACTATAGACATGGTTAGAAACAAATGGGCAGAAAAGTTTGTACAAATAGTTAGGAATAATAGGATTGATTGATAATTTTTGTGTATTATGTACATAATGTGGTCGGACTCGAGATTTTTGTGTATTGTGTAAATATATAGTGATTAGGTGAAAAGACCTGGTTGAGATTTTTGTATATTGTGTATATATTGTGTAAATCTGGCTGGACTGAGATTTCTGGACTGAGATTTATAGTAGGTCGTGTATGGTAGCACAAAAACAAAACAAAAATTTTTAAACAAAAAGGGATATTCTATGTCGGTTATTGCATTAACCGACGTTGTAACGTCAGTCGCTTGAGCGAAACGTCGGTCGCTTGAGCGAAACAGCACCCGAGAGTCCCTTTTGTTGAAGGCTTCATCGCTTAAGCGAGTACACCGGTCGCTTGAGCGAGAAAGGACTTTCAACGTCGGTTAGTTCAATGTCCGACGTAGAAATGAGTAAATTCTACGTCGGTTATTGAACTAACCGACGTTGAAAGTCCTTTCTCGCTCAAGCGACCGTGTACTCGCTGAGCGAAACAACGACCCGAGAGTCCCCTTTGTTTGAAGGCTTCGTCGCTCAAGCGAGTACACCGGTCGCTTGAGCGAGAAAGGACTTTCAACGTCGGTTAGTTCAATAACTGACGTAGATGTCTAACACTTTCAACGTCGGGTATTCTGAACCGACGTAGAATCCTTTGACATTCAACGACGCCTGATTCAACGACGTCATTGGAACTGACGTTGAAAGCCTTCTACACCCGACGTTGAATGCTCATTCTGCAGTAATGATAGAACAAAAGCGAGGAAGCTGATAGCGACCTTCTCTTCTCATATAGGTCTGGGGAGAGGGAACAAAGGCGAACTCATCATGACCATTCCCTCATTTTTAACCACTAGTGAACCGGGAAAGGGAAGATCGAACGTTTTAGACGAAATCCCATCCCAAAACAAGGAAGGCCAGAAGGAGAGGAACTCATTCTCGTTCTATTTTCCACCTCCTCCCAGAAAGACCTCGGCATCGAAGTCTTCTCTTCTTCAAAACACTACGGCAAATCCAGAGACTGACTGATTGATAAGTGAGTGGGGGTTTCAGTCACGACTGTCCCTTGTCCTAAAAAGGAAAGGAACCCTAACCAAGGAAGTGAGCCCTTGTAAAGTAAAGAGAGGTATCTTGGCTGTGACATCCCCGTGAGGAGCAAGGATGCCTGATTGACCTCGTTCCTTTTCTCGAACAAAGACTGGCACTGATATCAAACACTGAACCGAGAACACTGACTGAAATGAATGTGCTTGGTTGACATGGAATAAGTCCCAAGAGAGGGACTGAAGGAGCTCATTCTTTTGATTTAACCAGCAGTTCAGTATGTAAGAGAAGCCACGATCCGAGAAGCCTAGCGATACATAGAAAATGGAGCTTCCCGGATCAATGCCATCCTTTTTCTCTAACCAATAGGTCTTATCAAGAAGAGAGAGGGATTGTTAGCAGCTAATGTTCGGATTGGTTCTCAATATACGGAATCCATACATATCATAGAAAGGGTAGCTTGTTGTTGATCTCATTGTTGCGAATCTCGAAATAAGGCTCTCATTCTTCAAGCTCTCATGAGTGGTTTGCGGATGAATTGGCTTCTGTTGCGGGTGTATCGTATGATTGTTGAGGGAAGAAGACGATTCACCCGTCTGAGCCCGGAAAAGAAGAAGATGTGGCATCTCGACAAAGAGAGCCCTTGAGTGACATGAGTTAAATGACGGAAAGCTTGATAAAGAGAAAGATGTAGCCTCATGGGAGTTAGATCCCTTTGAGTGAGTTCCCTGCCCTAGGAGAAGAATGAAGAAAAGCAACTAAGAGATGCTACTTATTTTTCAACAACAGCAAATTCTTCCGAAGCTGAAAGAAATCTAAGAGTAGTCCCTTGGGGGCGGGGAATGCCGGAAGCCTTTAAAGAAAGTCAAGAAAGTCATTGGTTTGGTTTAGTTCCTCGGTTTCGGCATCTTAAGATGTAGTGCCCGTCATTCCCATCAGTACGGATGAGGGGTCGAGATCCGTTATTAATGAAACTCTCGCCTTCTCCCTTTGTTAGAGATGCCTCTTCAGTCTATTGCTCAACGGCCTATGGCTTCTAGAGTAGAGAGAATTCCTAGAGCCTTTCTAGAGAAAGTCCTTCTATCCGGGTTTAAGCTATGGCTTCTATTAAGAAATGATCTTCCCCACTAGAAAGAAAGTCTTAGGCCCTCCCCTTACTCTAAGGTCAAAGTCTTTACCAGTACAGAGAAAAGATAAGAACTATTGTTGGCTCGTACGTATCAGTCTAATATTCTTTTTATCCCTAATCATGTTCCAAAAGGTCCCAATACCTACTTTCTTTAGTCATCTATCCTTCTTCTTCCTTTCTTGCTATACACAATTTCTTTTTTAGTAAGCCACTAATGGTAGGAATTCATTCAAACAAAAACCGCCTCTAAGGATAAAGTCTTTCATCTGTAGGGTAGGCACTCTGATATCAGGCCTTGAATTTAGGTACGGGAAAAAGTCCTTACTTTATTCCGGAGGATATAATGTGAAAGGCTTCACATATGATATAACTCTTTCTTAAAGGGAGAGCGTCATGACTTTTAAGAAAGATTTTGAGAGGTGAAGTCTCTTGGAGAGATGAAATTGAATTTCTTTACTCTTGTGAGTTGAGTAAGGTCATTGAGCTTATTACTCTCATTTTAGTAGAGTTATGAGACTGTCTCCTACCGAATTCTTTCGATGGAAAATCCTCTCTTATCTTAAGGATCAGTTTCAAGCATAGACACCTTCTCCACCCACAATTGGACTCAACAATCTCTTTTATCATAAGAAAGGGAATAGGGGACTTAGGGTTTCAGCGTGCCAAATCCAATCCCTTCTCCCGTAGAGTGCCTAGACATTTGATAATGGATGCCCATTCCCGGGATTGCTGACATGATATGGAATATAATAGCGGACTTTCTTTCTGAGGTGTGGTCTATCCGAATAGCTAGAAGTAGAGCGATAAGAAGAAGAGCGGTGGGTTTCCAAGAACCGGAGATGGTCTTATCTATATACGGAACAGCACGAACAATCCTTGACCTTTCGATTCAGGGTCTTAAGCAGTGGGCTTTCCATAAGGTAGGAGGTGATTGAAAAAGGGGAAGCCCAAAAACAAAAAGAGCTTATTAGCTTTCTATTAACAATCTCCTCTTTCCTCGTGCATACAAAAATCTCGCTTCTCTTACCCCCCTCCCATCACCCCGACATCAGATTCTCACACTCAGAGTGGCTCCCTGTGCCAACCTCGGTGAATGTCATAGTTTCGCTTTAAAAAGAAAGAAAAAAGAACTTTAAGATTGGGAGCAACCTTCCTTCATGACTGTTGGACATCTTCCGATTCGTAAGACAAAACTTTCATATCATCTCTATAGTTTCGCTTCTTGCTCTAAAGAAATAAAGGAAATATCTTCCTCCGGAAGTGGTTTACCCAAGACAATAGAGTCGGTGTCTGTATAGAAGCAATCTTCTCTTGATATATAATCTACTCTGGATGCTTACTGGAGATAGACTCCTATCTATGCTAACTATCTTTTTTTTTTTTTTTTTTTTTTTTTTTTTAATGTTTGCATGTATGGTATGGGAAAAGCCCTAGTTGTAAATCTTTACTACTAAAATATAATAAAGAATAAAGTCCGTAAAAATGTGCTGAAAATGAAGAGGTGTAAGCTCGGTGTACTGGAGATGCGCTTATTAAGCCTTTCTAGCTTTGAAGCAAACTTCTTCCTTGAGTCTGCGCCGTCTTAAATACCAAACCCTAATCTTGCTATTGTTTAGTTCGTGTGTTTTACGTGAGCGCATTGAACTAGTGTGCATGGACCTTAGCCACGAGTTTTTCGGCCTAGACGCTAATAACACAAAAACACTTTGGTTTTGGGTTTTCGATCTCTGTTTTTGCATGAAAGTCTCATAAAATCAGTCATCGTTGCTGCACTTCCTTCACTTGTCCTTGCTCGAGCCTGACCCCGTCTTCCATGAACCGGAAGAAAATGAAAGAGGGGAGGTCGGGAACTATGCCTCTTCAGAATCGTAGTTCCTAGGTGCATTTATTATTGATTCACATTCTATCCTCAGGCGGGAAGGACTCAGTCTCAAAGCTCTTTTGCCAGCTTAGCATCTTGATGGTCTGTTCAAAATTGAAATCCCGATCTGACCACGCTTTTGTCAGTTGATTATGTCAAAACGAGGAACAGAAGACCTGCTTTTGTTCCAGTTTCTGATTCAAGAATGTTTGTTCCTATTGTTCTTGTAATTTCTGAACGTTTAGGTGAGCCACACCTCCAGCATTTGCAGAGTTCTCTGCATGCATTTGTGGATTCGCTTCTGCCAACAAAATTGGAAGAATTTCATATGGACGAACAGTTTCATTATACGAAACCATTTTCTTCATTGACTCCACGGTAAAAATCGACGGCTTCAGGTGAGTGAATTGTGGGTCTACGTAGTGCGGGTAGAAAGCTTCTAAGCTGAGTTCCGTTGGGTAGAGACCGTTGAACATCATTTGGGCAGGCCATCGGCTATATGGACTTAGACTTTTTGATGGTTATCATTCTCTAGGTGGGCTATTTTGAGGGGCTCGAAAGCTTCCACTTCAGACCTTAACTTAAAAAAGGGCAATCATCCCATGGCCACATACTTTTGTATGCACACTCAAGTAAGCTCTCATTGCAATCAATTTTGTGGCCTCACACAAGGATCTGTTTCTTTATGCCTTAGCCAGATTACCACCGCTTTTGTCACCACAATCACTAATAGCACAACCTATACCCGCTTGGATGACTTTACTTTAAGGCAAAGCTATTGTAGCATCCGCTACGGTTTCATCAAGGCTTACGAAAAAGAGAAAGATGCAAAAATAACGTAAGGCGAGCACAAAAGAACTAAAGGAAAAGTCGTTTACCACAAGAAAGCTAACGATAGCAAGAATGGGACTGCTTGCAAGGAACAAATTAATTGGACATGAAGTTGAGTCCGCCCTCCATCAAGGATAGGAAGATGCATTCCCCTAAGGGAAGGGGGCTTCTTTCATTTTCGTATTGGAGAGAGCATTGTGGGGCAGCAAAAGGCATAAATAAATAAAATAAATAAGGGGAAGCGGCGGATTCCCCGTAAAAATGCCTGAAAATAGGGAAGGTTCTGGAGGAGCTTTCCACAAACCGTGATTCCTTGGTAAATGTCAATTCGGGGCAAAAGGTGGCCTACGAATTGATTATCGCCGTGCACGATTGGGAATCCAATCAAAGGGACTAGCGGATGTACCATGAAACTTTATCGTCGTTAGTTTACTTTGGTTTGGCTTGTTTCCGGAGAGAGGTGAGCCGGTTGCGCTTTTACGCTGTGTTTGTTTGAACTGATTTGCGAGGAAAGACTGTTCACGAAGACAGAAACACGAGATTCACCCACGTTTGATTGAACAGATTTGCGAAGAAATGCAGGCGAGGAAAAGGGGGAGAGGGGAGAGAGACTTTCTTCGCTAATCTGCGAAGAAAAGAGACGAAAGTCTGTTGGAGATAATGAAAAGTCCAAATTACCCTCTTCCATATGATAGCGGTTAACTCTTAACCGCTATTATAATAGCACTTGTAATAGCGGTTAAATCTTAACCGCTATTATAATAGCACTTATAATAGCGGTTAAAACTTAACCGCTATTATATATCACTTCTAATAGCGGTTAAATCTTAACCGCTATTATATATCACTTTAGATAGCGGTTACATAGGAACCGCTATTATATCCTCCAATTATGATCGATCATTTCTTAAATCTAATCGATTAAGATCGTTTTTCGCTCGAGCGAGATATAGTCGCTCGAGCGAAACATAACCCGAGACTTCTCTGTCTGCAACAGTTTCCAGCCATAAGGTATCATCGCTTCTCCCTCCTTTTTTATGTTTCTCTTACATTCACATTCATCTCTCTCACACACACTTCGTTACTTTCGCACCTTCACTGCCACCTCTACTACCCCTAGGTTGCTTCTACTTTTTCACATACCGAAGATGCAATGGGGTGCTTCTCACTCAACCATGCACGTCAATGCCATTGTTCCAGGATGAGTTGTCACCGATTCATTGTGAAGGTTCCAAAAATTGTTATTTTCCCCCATTTAATTCCTTATTTGATGCATAATGATAACGAAGCGTTTAGTGAAGCAATAATGGTAAGCATGGAGTTTCTAAAACAAATTTTGTGTGGGAAAACCCTCTAATTGTGAGGGAAAAATAATGCCACCGTTTCGTTGATAGTATCCATTCCACACCCTCCGACGAGTGAGTTTTTACCGGGATGAGATCCACTCGTTCTAATATTACTGTTCTCCATGATTGCGAAATATGATGGAGTTATAGGGATGATACCCAATCCAATTCAGTGTATTTGTATGCTCCTAGGATTTGCTCACTCTGTTTTGTCTTTCTTTGAGAAGCTTTGGCTCTGCCTTTGCTTCTGGGCTCCTTCTTGCCTCATTATGCAAACATGGGGGACAAATGCATCCAATATATGAATATGGTTGTATATGATAGCGGTTCCACTCGGAACCGCTATCTAATATACACTTTAGATAGCTGGCTCCAGAGGAACCGCTATTATATGCTCCAATTATGATCGATCATTTCAAATTATGATCGATCGGATCGTTTTCGCTCGAGCGAGATATGGTCGCTCGAGCGAAACACAACCCGAGATCGAAGAAATTAAAATATGGTTGTAGATGATAGCGGTTCCACTAGAACCGCTATCTAATATACACTTTAGATAGCGGTTGCGAGAGGAACCGCTATTATATCCTCAAATTATGATCGATCATTTCAAATTATGATCGATCAGGATCGCTTTTCGCTCGAGCGAGATATAGTCGCTCGAGCTAAATGCAACCCGAGACTCGAATCTTAATTTATAATCGATATTTATAAATTTTATTAGTATAAATTTATTAAATATTTATTTAACAAAATATTTGTTATAACTTTTATATTTATTGTCATATTTTTACTTCATTTTTTCTCATATTCATAAATAAATTTCAATATTATAGTTAAAAAAAATTACAAAAGACATTTGTTATCATGTTTTAATTAGTATAAATATATTATAAGTATAAAATAATTATATTATAAACACAGATTTAAAAAAAATATTTATATATATTTAGTAATTATAAATATATAACATTATATTTAAAAAACAAATGTTTTTAATATGTTTCTTTTAATATTTTTATTATTTATTTGGATTAGCCTACATATCTAGGAGGTTCCTTCAATGCACAACACCCATGCAAAGGGTAAAATGGTAATTTTCCGAAATAATCAATATAAAATTATAATTTTTATATCTCATATCAATCAAATCATTCACAATTTCCCATAAACTTTCCCTTCACTTTTTAATCATCTCAATTTCTCTTCAAATCCCTCCTTTTCCACTCTCTCATTTCCACTCTCTCAAATCACTCCAACCAAACAAGGGCTTAGTGAGGAGATAGGAGCTCTCGAGCTTAGAGAGGTTCCCTAGGCTTGAGAGAGGTCTAGGGGGAGTCCAGATAGAGGACTCTTTAAATCGGTGGGCCCACAGATGTAGAAAGACTTAAGCTTTCAAACTGCGTAACAAAAGTGACTCCTTGTTGGTGTAAGATAGGTGTAGGTCCGATTCACCAATGTGAGTTCTAACCAGACGGGTCGTTTGTGTGGAGAATCTCTCTCCTTACTCAGGATTTCTTGATCTTCGAGCTATTGACCCTACCCAACTAACTCTCTCTAAGTAAGAGCTCACCCTGACTTAGTCTTCTCGATAGGAATGAGACAAAAAAAATGTCAGTCCTTCTCCTGTGAGAGACTTTGAAGTGGGCTGCTTTCAAGGGCTAGAATTTCCCTATTTCGACGTGAAATTGGCTTAGCTTGGTCTTTCTGTGTACCTAGAATAAATTTGCCCATAGAGTATAAAAGATTATGGTCTGATTCGAGAAGCTAGCCTTCCTTATAAAGTCTGATTTTAGGGATCCTTTTTTTTTTAGTTAAGTACCCGTGGGATTCGATTTGCCAACTGATCCGAGTTGGATTGGGTCAGGAACGGAAAAAGACTATATAAGATAAGGAATTTATTTTATGTTGAGGCCTAAATTCCATCGGGAGCAGAAGCACGACATACTATTTGAGTCTCCAAAAGATGTTCTCCATAGAAAGTGGAAGCATACTTTATCACTTTTACAAGTAATAAAAAGGTCCCATCCAACCAAAATCCATTCAGAATCAAAGTTATTTTCCATTTCCACTATATTACCTCATTGTTGTCAATGTGATGTGATGGTTTGTTATGCCCATCACTGGTGGAAGTGAGATGATCCATGTATTATATGTGAGTTAAGAGTTATGGTTGGTGACTTCTGACTCATAGAATGAGATGAATAAATTCTCTACGGGTAGCATTGGGTAGTTTTTTTCTACGAGCAAAATCGCCTTCATGCCCCAATTGATAACAGATGCTTTTCCACTCGATCCAGTTCCAGCTATTCGCATCACGGGAAAATGGAGTGCTTCCTTCATCGCGGAGGGCGGGGGGCTAGGGAACTGCCAACCTAGGTTTCAATAAGAGCCCCTCCTTTACTTGTAGAATTGAACTTTCTAAGACCTTTAGATCGAAGGCCTTGCACCACCGGTCTATGCCAACTCGTTCAAGCATTTAAAAAAAGGAGTTTTCCCCTTTCAAGCGCAGTCTCTTAATACATCCGGAGTGGATTTTTAAGGAAAATCCTAAGCCAGTCTAAGAGGGATAGGGCCAACGTTAATGTTAATAGGGAGAAAAGATGGATGTGTTTTCCCTTCTCCTACTATTTAAACAGAAAGGTTTACCGATAAAAAGTCTCATAACAGTAATACAAAACTGCACATACCAGTCATAATACAAAGGACTCCCAGTGGAATTGTTATGTACACTACTCCGTAAGTTTGTGTCCAGCTTCACTCTATTGGATTCCCACCGGGTTGAGATCCTTGCCAAGATCCTGCTATGGTGTAATCAATGGCTTATGAGTCTGATTTACTTGTATCGTAAGTGATGTGTTTTAATAGTTGGCTTAGGATTCTCATTTCACTGATGATAAGTAAAGAAAAAGGGCAAGGACTCATCCATATGGGCCATCTCTATTGGTTTTTAATAAAAATACTCCTCCTAGTCCTATCGAACCAGCTTCTTCAATCCTAGCTTCATGAGGGAGCCTCCTTTTTTTTACATTTACAAAGGGATTCAGACAAGGAAGGTTGTGAAGCATGCAAACTGATTCTCTTTTCTTATGTGAATTAGACACTACTGAAATGCAGTTTCACTCCTAAGCTAAGAAGAAGGTAAGATGACTACCTATACTATACTATACTATAGGCAAGAAATAATTGAACCTAAGGCTTGCCCCCGAAACATTTGGAAGAAATGCTGCTTTAGATCCCGCCCAGATCAGATCAAGGGCGGTCTATTTTTTTCTCTTTCTAAACGAAAGAGCGAAAGTTTATTACGGGTGATGGATGCTCTTTACTTTACTTGACTTGAATTTAGGTTGTGCCGGGCTGTGCACTTCACTTCAGCCCTTCACATCAAGGTGACAGGATTCGAACCTATGGCCCTCTGTACCCAAAACAGATGCACTGACCAGACTACGCTACACCTCGTCTCACCCCCTCAGCATATAGATCCACCCGATCGATGAAGACTCGAACCAAACTCGCCCATCCTTGGGCGTAGGGACGCGAGAACCAATCTGAGTAATCAACCGCTTTTTTAAGAAAATCTGCCTCCAGCAAGATAGGGCGACGCCAAAAAGCCGTATAGTGCGGGAGTGCTCACATTTTTTTTTTCTTCCTCTTTCACTTGAATTAAAAAAAATTCGGCTTGCTCCCGGCTACCTGTCCTTTGGACCCAAAGCCCGCTTAGAAGTGGATTTGAACCACTGACACAAGGATTTTCAATCCTTTGCTCTAGCCAGCTGAGCTACCTGAACCACTTTCCTAAAGTATGTTTTCTTCATCGAATAGCGCCCTACCTTACTTATCACTTGACTAGTAAGGGAAAATCCCTTTACTAATAACTTTAAAGATTTACTAATAACTTTAAAGAAAGGGCTTTTTTCGTTCGTCAAGCTTTCGAGTAGCTCTTTCAACTGCCGCCTAATCTCCTCTCCCAACATGTTCAAGAACTGAAGCCGCCCAGGGACTGCCGGAGAGAGCTTGCTTATAAAAGAAGATAGGCCGGTCAAAACAACGCCCAACGGGCTCTCCGCTCACTAAGTAATGCTTTTCTATCCTCCGGGGAACTCCACCAACACACACCAAGAGGTTCTTTCTCTCACGTAATTTGGCCCGCCCGTTCCACTTCCGTGCCGAAAGAAATGGGATTTGAACCCATGATACAATCTTATTTTATTGTATGTTGATTTAGCAAACCAATGCCTTAAGCCACTCAGCCATACCTCCAAGTTGTTGATCGGAATTGGATGTGCGATTGGTTGCCCGAAGGGCTATCTGATCCGATCAATTGTGTAAGTCGTAGCGCGCTAGCGCGCGTACTCTTCCTCTATGAGCGAGACTCCATCAAAATCTGCCACTCATTGGGCGACACCCTCTTTTCTATGAACACCCCACCACTGAATGATGAACTTTGCCAGTCTTCGCCTCTGACCCAACCAAGAGAGAACGAGTTAGATACACTTTACAAACAAAGGTACGAGCTACATACGAGGAGAATGAACTACATATATGGAGCGAACCGAGGCGGAAGAAGTCAACTGAGAGAGCCATTCCACGCAAGTCATTTCCTATGTTCATGTGTAATAGCAAGCGACATGATAGATTTGATCACATTACGGGCTAAGGTCAGAATGTGTCTGTAGCCGTTGCAGTAAACTAACAGAGGTAGGAGGAGGACAAGACAGAAAATGGATTAGAGTTAAATAAGAAGTTAGTACGTAGGTACGCAAGTCACTCAATTTCACTAGATATAAGCGAAAGGTATGAAGTCACTCGACCGATAGGGAGAGGGCTATGCGTGTAAGGCTTGCTGGGATAACGCTTTGATAGGTACGAAGTCACTCATATAGCTAGCTATATTAGGTACGTGTAGTCACTCATATTAATGCTATGCTATTAAGGCATATAGATTTGTCAAAAGGGTAGCGGAAACGTTACCTCGCTTGATAGCCCGTTATACCCCCCTTCACACTCCTATTCCACGATCTCAATAGTCTCACTGCACACGACGAGCAGGGGTTGAAAGCAAAGAAACTCTTCAATGACTAGCCATCTCGAACATTTACCCAAGGAAAGATGGAGCAGCCCATTCCGAAAAGCTAGCTTATTCACGAGTAGCTTCACCACTGCAAATAGAATAAGTCGCGGGCCTTCCTTTTATTTATATTATAGAAGGGCTTTGGCTTCTACCAATGCTGCTAGAGGGTGTCTTTTTTTATGTAACTTCCATCTTATACCGAAGTACTTATATAAGCTCAGTCCCAAAACCTTATTTGTTGAGTCCTTATCGTGCCCCGAGCCCCCAGGGGAAAAGGCATAAGCGGGAATTAGTGGAAAGAAAGAATATGTAGTTGTCGGAGATGCTTTGTTGTGCTTGTCTGATTGGGAAGAGATATGAGAGTTCCGACTTCGATAGGTCCTAATTCCACCAAAGCAGGTTTGGCATGACGCCCATTGTCACTTCCTTTTTAGTTTATGCGCAAGGTTTTTGTCTTTCTAAACAAAAGAATCTGACACGGAAAGTGTTACTCAAGCTAAATAAAGGCCTACAGCCTATTCGAAATCAAAAGCAGCTGACGATGGTAATTCGTGTAGAGCAGATAGATTCTTCTTAACTTAAGAAATCTTTCCCGATAGGCGCATCTCTTCCTTAACTCTTGTTGACTTCTTGTGCCTCTCTAGCCTTTATCACAGCACTAGGAATTGTCTAATGTAAGGGTCTACCCGCTTTGAATCTCTTGGAGTAAGGGCTTTAGGTCTTGTATCTCTTGATGGCGGTGTGATCGTATCTGCTCTTGAATAAGAATTGCTTTGGTAAGCCAATCCCGCACTCTTCCACGTCCTTATTTGCCTGAAAGCTATTCCAGGAAAGCCTAGCATAAAGCTTTCTTGTGATGAAATCGCTTACCCCTTCTTCTCTGCATGCTAAGGCTCAGTCTTTCTAGATATTCTAGTTATCCATTCGTCCCCTATAGCTATAGGAAGGCGGCTAAACTTCACTCACTTTCATCACTACCCCTCCCCTGCCTATTCACTCTTATTCTTCTTTCAAGCCTTATGCTAAGTGATAAGAAAAAAGAAGTAGGTTTCTATATCATACTCAGGTTTCGCAGCTCCAGCTAGACCATGCCTTACCTTCTTTCCAAAGCCGTCAATCACATTAAGATTTCGTTTTCTTTAGATGTTTGTACCTCTTTCTTTTTACTCCGACTCGACTTTAAAGGCACAGTTGACTCGAGGTATGAAAGGATTGAACCAGAGCCGAGGGTGAAAATAGATAGAAAGTCTCACTACCCATGGGCGCTTTTCTAAGGTTTGTATAGGACTATAAGTAGGTCCTTGCTACATTTATTAATATTATATTAAGGAGAATTTGTTGAAAGATGATACAAATTCTAGAAAGATCTAGAATATAAAATCTTATATGTTACTAGAATTAGGAATTACATATCTGTAATATCTAGAATCCTTAGAAGATTCTAGAAATGTTTGAAAGTAGAAGATAAATAATTCTAGAATTAAGAAAATCTAGAATTATGTAGAAAACATATGTGTACTAGTAGAAGCTACAACATGATTCTAGAAAAAGAAAAAGAAGAAGAAATGTGTAGAAATAGAATAGTGTAGAAACAATGAAATTAATAGAAAATTCTAGAATCTTGTAAGTAAAGCCTATAAATAGACATGAAGGGAGTCTTTGTATGTGTGGAAAATCTAATACAAGCTCCTACATATCTTGTAACACTTCTAACATCAATTACTATCTTCCCTCATACAAACCTTCTCCTATTTGTCCACCTCTTTCTAAAAACTATTTTCTACACAAATCTCACTACTAAACATCAAACTATCTTTCCTATTCTTCCTAAAATACTAACAAGTGGTATCGAGCTACGTTCGGTCACCTACTGGGCGTAGAGAAAAATTTTCGACTACCTTTAAAAACCCAATCCCACTCTACATTACTTCCAAAAGAAAATTCCAACCTATGGCCACTACCAACCAAACATCATCCATTCCAGTCCCTATTTTCAAGGGAGAAAATTATGATTTTTGGAGAGTCAAAATGAGGACATTTTTTTGTTCTCAAGATCTTTGAGACGTCATTGAAGATGGGTTCACTATTCCAGAAGACATCTCAACTCCTACAGCTTCCCAGAGGAAGGAGCTGAAGGAAAACAAACAGAAGGATTCAAGGGCATTATTCACTCTTCAGTAAGCAGTTGATGACACTATTTTTCCAAGAATAATGGGTGCCACAAGTGCAAAGGAAGCTTGGAATACAATTCAGGAGGACTTTCAAGGAAGTGATGAGGTACGCAATATTAAACTCCATTCTCTAAGAAGAGAATTTGAGTTAATAAGAATGAATGAATCTGAGACCATAAACGACTACTATTCTAGAATAAAAGAAATAGTTAGTCAGATGAGAACATATGGGGAAAATATTCTTGATAAGAAAATTATTGAGAAAATTCTAATTTCTATTCCCCTAAAATATGATGCAATTGCAACTGCAATTGAACAAACAAAAGATTTATCTACATTATCGGTGACACAACTAATAGGCTCTCTTGAAGCATATGAACAAAGATTGAAAAGACGTGAAGAAGACTCAGTCGAAAATTCCTTTCAATCAAAATTAAAATTACAGTCTCAAAATGGAGGAAATAAAATTAATAGAGAACTTTCTAAGAATAAGGAAAATTCTAGAAATTTTTCCAAGACTATTCAAGGAAAATATCCTTCTTGTGGAACTTGTAAAAAGACAAGTCACTTGGAAAAAGATTCACTACTACAAATAAGGTCTTCAACGTCGGTTCTGGAAGGCCTTCAACGTCGGTTCCAGAACCGACGTTGTATCAGGCGACGTTGAAAGTTAAGACTTTCAACGTCGGCTCTATTTAACCGACGTTGAAAGTTATCGGACTTTCAATGTCGGTTAAATAGAACCGACGTTGAAAGTCCGATTTTTCAAATTAAATTTTTTTATTTATTTCCAACCTTTCCAACCCCTCTATTTATCTAGAAATCCCCCATCTCTTTTATATTATATTTTTATTAGGTCCCTCTCTCTTTTATATTATATTTTTATTATTTATCATATTTTTTTTAAGTTTAAAGCATTACCAAATTATTTTTTTGTCACTGACAGGATTGAACCCAAGTACCTTAGTGTTGGAGGTCGATACTCCAACCACTAAACTACTCGAATTTTTTGATAGTAAGTTACAAATAAATTATATTTATATACAAATAAATATATATCCGTGTGAATATATAAATACAAATATATTTATATATTTTGATATATTTATATAATTATATATTTATATATTGGATGTGAGGGCACGCTCGAAGGTGAAAGTGTGTGTCGAGTGGGTTTTCAAAATTTAATGCCAAATTTGTGAGCGAGTCTCATATATGAGTTTGTAATTTAATGATAGAATATAATATTTATAATTTATTTATATAATGATATAAAATAAATTTGAAAAACGCATCATTTGCTCAAGTGACACATTCGCTCAAGCGAAAAATACCAATTTTCGCTCAAGCTAGGCTTGAACGAGTGAATTTCGTGAGCTTTAACGTATTTTCACTCAAACGAGAGTCAATCTCACTTTCACCCTCGATCGCGCCCTCACATCCAACATAAAAATATATAAATATATTTGTATTTATATATTTACACGGATATATATTTATTTGTATATAAATATAATTTATTTGTAAATTATTATCAAAAAATTATAGTAGTTTAGTGGTTGGAGTATTAATTTTCAACTCTAAAATACTATATTCGAATCCTATCAATGACAATTCTCTAACTTAAGTGAATTTTTTACTGAAAAAATAAAAACACTTTCCAGAAAATATATATAAATAAATATATATTTACACATATATATATTTATTTGTATATAAATATAATTTATCCGTAAGTTATTATCGAGAAAATTACAGTAGTTTAGTGGTTGGAGTATTAGCTTTCAATTCTAAAATACTAGGTTTGAATCCTGTCAGTGACAATTCTCTAACTTAAGTGAATTTTTGGTCGAAAAAAATAAAAACACTTTCCAGAAAATATAAATAAATATATATTTATACGAAATATATATTTATTTGTATATAAATATAATTAATTTGTAAGTTATTATCGGAAAATTACAATAGTTTAGTGGTTGGAGTATCAACTTTCAACTTTAAAGTACTGGGTTCGAACCCTGTCAGTGACAATTCTCTAACTTTTTGGTGAAAACACATTCAACGTCGGTTCATCTGGAACCGACGTTGAATGTCAACTTTCAACGTCGGTTCATCTGGAACCGACGTTGAAAGTGCATTTAACGTCGGCTCAGCTTTAACCGACATTAAATGGCGACGTTGAAAGCATATTTTGTAGTAGTGATTGTTGGCCTCGAGGAAAACCTCAATGTCAATATTGTAAGAAATTTGGACATCTAAAGAAAATGTGTCACAACAAAAATCATCAACAAGCAAATTTTGCCGAAGAACGGGACAGAGAACAACATCTCTTCTATGCTACGGGATGTTCTGACAATGAATCAAAAGGAAGATGGTACTTGCACAGTGGGTGTAGTAACCATATGGCGAATGATCCAAGCATCTTCAAAGAAATTGATAACTCGATCAAAGTTCAAGTACGATTGGGAAATGGCACCGTGGTAGAGTCAAAAGGAAAAGGTAGTGTTATGGTGGAGACCAAGAAAGGTATGAGACTTATCAATGATGTCTTACTAGTTCCCAATCTTAAAGAAAATCTCTTAAGTATTGGTCAAATGATGGAGAAAGGATATACTCTTCACTTCGAAAGAGATACATGCATTATCTATGATAAGAAAAATCTAGAGATTGTCCAAGTAAAAATGGACAAGAGAAATAGAAGTTTTCCTATAAGCTTCAATCGAGGAACTAACATTGCCATGAAAGTAGAAGTTGATAACTCGTTGTTATGGCATCGTAGATTTGGCCACTTCAATACTCATGCCTTAAAGCTACTACATCAAAAAGGCATGATGAGAGATCTACCAAGCCTTAAGGAGAGTAGTGAAGCTTGTGAAGGATGTCTTCTGGGAAAGCAACACAGATTACCATTTTCTACGGGAAATACTTGGAGAGCAAAAGACTTGTTGGAGTTAATCCACACAGATATTTGCGGACCGATGAGGACTCCATCGCTTAAGAACAATAGGTACTTCATTCTTTTCATTGATAATTTTTCTAGAATGACTTGGGTCTAATTCATTAAAGCAAAATCAGAAGTCTTAGGAATATTAAAAAAAATTTAAGGCCCTTGTCGCCGCCGTCAAAAAGGAGGCGGTCGGAGCGACGCGATGGTTTTTCGACTCTTCTTCGATTTTCGCGTTTTTTATTGGTGGTTACAACGCCTTTAGGTTGTCCGATAACCGGGCTAACCTAGGGGCGAGGTTTTCAAAAGTATCCCTGAGTTGTCCGATAACCGGGCTATCCCAGGGATTTATTTAGTAGGGTTCTATGGAGTCACCACCGATATTTTTACCATAAACATCGGAAAAGGGGTTTAAAAAGGCGTTGGTTTTCGAAAACCAACTTTGGTCATTAGAACCAGAGTTGGGTAAGGGAGTTAGTTACGTGTAAAGGAAGTGTTAGTTCCTTTACAATGCCCCTTTCGGGTTCCCTATGGTAGGCTGGCTAATTTGAATAAATAATTAAACTAGAAAAAATAGCGCTTTTACCCTTTTATTACACGGTATTTAAATTTATGACTACATGGCCCTAGCTTCTATTGCGTAATTTAAATGGCGGTAAAATAAATAGAGAGGGAGAATATGCACCTCCAAAGCAAGCTTTTATATTTCTTTAAAGAGAGGGTGCGT